TGGGATTTTAATGGGGATTGCATTGAATCTGTAGATTGCTTTTGGCAGGATTGCCATTTTTACTATATTGATCCTACCTATCCAAGAGCATGGGAGATCTTTCCATTTTCTGAGGGCTTCTTTAATTTCTTTCTTTAAAGATTCAAAGTTCTTGCGATACAGGTCTTTCACTTTTTTGGTTAGCATTACCCCAAGGTATTTTGTGTTGTTTGTGGCAATTGTAAAGGGTGATGTTTCTCTGATTTCTTTTTCAGCCCTTTTATCATCTGTATATAGTAGGGCTACTGATTTTCTTGAGTTGATCTTGTAGCCTGCCACTTTGCTGAAGGTGTTAATCAGCTATAAGAGTTCCCTGGTAGAGTTCTTTGTTCTTACTTGCAGCCATTCCTTCTTTGTAGATTGACTTCTCTTTTTAGTTGATAACTCATTAGTTTTGTCAGCAAGATTTGTAAATGACACATTATATAAAAACAACTATTTTCAATAAATGGATATGTAAATGGTGAATTTCCTTAATCTTTGGTCTTCAGAATGTTTACATTTTAACCATTGCAGTGAGTAGCAATTAGCACTTGGGTATGCATTTACAACTCATTGTAATTTTATCTTTGAAGATGGCAGTCCAGTGGCTCCCATCATCTATTCCCATAAGGATAAATCACAGTCAGTGTATTTGTAAGTTATTTTACCATAAATCAGTCTCTGCTGTCTCTGCTTTTTGGTCAATTTTTAAACTCCATATTCCTCCATTTTATTGTGATTGCTTTGCTTTTGGTGTGTCTGTCTGATTCAGTTCTCCCATCCTTCAGGTCTTGACAATGACTGCTCAACTTCCAAAGTCTTCTTCTCTAAGATATTATGGTATTGTTTTTATATTTCCTTCCATACTTAAGATAAATTAGTTACTGACATCTTCCAACTGACTGTCTTGCCACACCTGAAATGTACTCTGTTGAGTACTTTTTCTTTAATTATGGTTTATAATTTTAAATTTAATTTATATTTTTAAAGATACATATGGTATCATTTGTTTTATAGATTATAACACCTTACCTTTGCATCCCTTGTCCCAAACTATTTTGGAGGTATTCTGCAGCTCTCGTATCATTTTTATTTCATGCATCACATACATCCAACCATGCGCCCTTTTTTCTCCCTTTAAGCAGCTCCTACAGCTGGTTTTGTAACTGCTCAGGGAGGCTTGTTTGAATCAGAGGAAACACTGTAGTTTAAGTGTGGATGGAAGTGATTGAGTGTCTGTCTTCATTTTCTCCTGAACCTTGCTTTCTCTGCCTCCCTTTGTGCCCTGGAGCTAAGCTATCCTTAAGAAACACTGAGTTGGAGATTTTCTGATCTGAGATCTGGAAGGTGTGCAAATTTTACAACCAAATGGGACCTGTTTGATTCCCACTGGGAGACCAATATCCCAACCCCACTGAGAAAATGGAGTAGGGTCAGTCCTGCTTAACCACCAAGGACTGAACATGTGACTCCTCTGTCGCCTCAGAAACCCAGTGACCTATGGACTGATAAGCTTTCAACTTCATGTGTCTTTTCGTTCTCCGAACCACAGAAGTGTTGATGCTGATTTTTAACTGGTGCGCATTTCCCTTCTGCTCATTGTGTTTCACCTGTTATTTCTGTGGCTAGGAAGCAGAAGAACTGCATGGTCAACAAGCTGGCAGCCTCCTGACCCTGCAGAGTCAGTTAGATGCCCAGTCTCAATGCGGCCTGTGTTCATGCTCTGTTAAAATGTCTCTCCAAGTTTCCACCCTCCTAAATCCTGAAGACACAGCTTGTGCCCCTTCTTTCTCGAGAACATTCCTGTAACAGCCTCTACCATCCTCCATCTCCTTAGGCTTGGGCTTGCTTCATCTTGTGTTTCCTCTTAGGCTTCATCTTCAGAGTGCTTGGTCAGCGTTTGGGGAATGACCAATTAATGAGTGCTTTATTTGCTCAGCTTTTAGAAAGCTCGAATTTTCAGAGCTGTATTTTTCACTCTCCTAAAATCTCCTAGCAACATTTAAAAAGAGTGAAGCAAAAACAACTTCTCTTTTAAAGTCATCCCACATTCCTAAACCTTTACTCCAATGTCCCCAAAACATGTAGAGACTTTGTCTTGTCTCCCAGGTCTGTGAAACCCAAAGCAGTTTGTTCTCCTCAACATTTCGAAAGGTAAATAGGATTTGTAGGGGAATTATGCAAACGTTCCCTGGAAAATCGAAAGACTTTTTAAAAACCCACAGGCAAACCTCAGGAAAGCCAAAATCAACTAGTTTCATTTTACATGCAGAACTTTCTACACCTCACTATAAAATAATGTGGATGATTAAATCTTACCAAAATGTAATGTGTGTATATGTATGTATATCAAAGAAACACCTCACCAAGGAATATTAGATATTTATATATGCATGCAAATACATTTATATGCATTTATGAAAAAGAATAGAAACTCTGTGTAAACTGAAGAATCAATGCACGATGGAAAAACTAGAGCCAATATTTTTTAAGCCAACTAACACTTCTTTTCCATAGGTAAAGATTACTTAGAGTTTATCCCAAACACATCTTGGTCCTTAGACAACTTAAATTCTAATTCACTTCAGAATGCCCACTCATCACCATGGAGAAGACCAGGCCTGGACTGAATTCATCCTCCCCTAGAAAGCCATGGACTTCTGCTGATATACCCCCATTGCCCTTGTCATGCTTCCTTAAGAGAGAGTTATCCAAAGTAATTTCTGCTAATTTGTTTCCTCCAACAAACTGTGGGCCATCCGAGGACCGTGCATATTCAAAGTCCAAATGTGTTCATCTTTGAATCCCATAAGGCAATAAATGACTTCTACTTTATCCAGATGCTCCTCTGAAAACGCAATTGGGCTGCTGTGCAAACATCATGAACTTTCAGTGTAAATAGCTTTGTCCTCCTGTAACTACAAGAAGCTCCTCCCTTGTAGATCAGTATTTATTCCTGGCATACAAATGGACTTTGGGTGCCCATCCCACAATGAGGGATACTCTCTCAGCGTGGACTCTTGGGGGAGGGCCTAGTTCCTGCCCTGAACAAAATGACAGACTCTGGAGATCCCCCGTGGAGGGCCTCACCCTCCCTGGGGAATGGAGTGGGGATTGGGTGAGGGGCTGGGGATCTACGGGGTGGGGAGCAAGGGAGGAGGAGAGGGAGAGGGAGCTGGGATTGACATGTGAAGCAAGCTTGTTTCTAATTTAAATAAAAATATTAAAAATCATCCCTTTTATACCAGCAAATAAACACTTAAATGACATGTTTTTCTATTAAAAACTCATGGGCCCTAAATTTCTTTTTAATCATAGGCTTTAGTATTATTACACGTGTTCCATTAACAGGCATATCCCATGAATTCCCTTTCATAAACACCAGTAAGTTCAGTGCAAACCAACCAGGTGATTAATTTATAATTCTTGACACATTAGGGGGGTGGGCTGGAGGGAGAAGCAACACATAGGTCCTAGGATGGGGCCTTGAACGCCAACGCCATGAACACACACAGAGAAGGGCACACACGTACACACACCACCCATGAACACCCACCGTGCTGAGCTGGCATTGGATCCAATCTAACAAACCAATGCCTGAAGGCAAATAACAAAGACTAAACTGTTGCAGGTTCCTTTTCCCACAAAATAATAATAATGAGTAAAAGTCGTTGGAGCTTGGCCAGAGCGTAATGCAACACGATTTCTAAAATCAGCATCTTCTTTCCTCCCACACACGTTCTCCCCAACTTCTCCATCAGTTCTCTCTTGCCTTTCTAGGCAGGTTCCTTACCTCCCTCAAACAGGATGTCATCCACCAGCTATTCCAATCATCATGTGCCTTCTCCTAAATTCGAGGGACATGATGAATCTACACAAGAGGCAACTTCAGGCTATAATTAAAGAGCCACTAACTCACTGTCTCTTTAGGAGGGTCAGTTCATTTCCCTGTGCTGTTTTGAATGAGCAAGATGATTAAGTAGGTTGGCTGGAATTATTTCTTGGTCTTCTGATTCTTTTAGGTAATGGTTTATACTCAGGCATGGGCCTTGGAGACAGACCATGGCCAGGTCCAAGTCCTTTACTGACTAGACATGTGACACTGGAAGATTAGCCTGCCTTTCTATGCCTTGATTGATCTCTTTGCCAGTATTGAAGATTGAGGATGGTGATGATGGCTATGATTATGATGGTGCTAAGAGTGGTGAATGGTGATGATATTATAGGATAGCAATAAGTTCTTCCTAGGATCACAGTGAAGGCTAAGTGGTGGGGTTTTTTTTGTTTGTTTGTTTTATTTTGTTTTGTTGAGACAGGGTTTCTCTGTATTGTTTTGGAGGTTGTCCTGGAACTCACTCTGTAGACCAGGATGGCCTCGAACTCACAGAGATCCGCCTGCCTCTGCCTCCTGAGTGCTGGGATTAAAGGCATGCACCACTGACACCCGGCTAAGTGGTGGTTTTTAAGGGGCTTACATGAGAGGCTAACTATGTAGGCCTTGTCCAAATGTCAGTAATTGTCACAGAATAACAAATAAAGACCTCTGAAGGACATATTATTGATAACTGTCCTATTTCTGTATTTCAGAATGAAAGAGCAATTTTTACTGCCGATGTGTTCAACATCATCTCCTTTTTAGTACATTCTGCTTCTCAGTCACAAGACCTTGACAAGTGACTTCTCTGTACCAATTGTTACTTCCGTCATCTGTAAAATGGGAATAATGGTAACTGCCTATGTGACATTCTTAATGTCAAACTCAAGTAAAATAATGAATACAGACATACTCCAACACACCAGTAGCTTGTATTATCACCATAATAACCAATATGTAGTGAGATTCACCATGAATATTATACTGTTCCAAACTCACCTATTCCTAGTGTTTAGTCCTACAAGTAAAGTATAATTATCATTCACACATAACAGTCAAGATCTAGCAAGTGTCTCCCAGAAAAAGTAGAAGCTGAAGCCTAGACTTGCTTGCTTACAAACACTTTATTTAGATAAGAGTTCACAAAGAATGGGACTGAGCCTAGTGACCTTAAGGGGACAATAGAAAGACAAAAGCCTAGGCAACTAGAATAAGACCACTAGTTGCCAGGCACAACTTACAGCAGAACTAGCTGTCACCTGAGGACAGGAGAAGGGTATCTTACTCAATAGACCCATACTCCATGGGGCAAGGACTTCCTCGTGAAATGAGTAACACCCTTGAAGGCTAAGCTTATAGGACCATCCTCTAACCAGCATGCCTAGGCTTTGCCCAGCATGCTTGTCAGATAGGACAGCAGGAGGAGAATGGCCAGCTTAAGGAAGAAGCAAATAAAAGGGTGTCAAGAGGATGCCAAGTTAGTGCAGGAGGTATCAGTTACTGATCTGTGTTAAAGCCCCCGCTCACCCACAGAACTATAAGGATGTGAAGTCTAACTTAAATTATTAAAGCTAACTTAAATACTTTTTTGAGTTAGTTACTATCAATGTCTCCAGTGTGTCACTGGGTAAGGTGAGGCACACCTATAATGGCAGGACTTAGATCCTGAGGTAAAAAGGTAAAAGTTTGAGTTCAGCCTAGATGACATAGCAAGACACTGTCTCAAAAAAAGAAAATCAATATTTTAATATTAATCCATCAAGTATAAAGCACGTACCTTTCCTGACACACAATGTTCATAATAGAAACAATGGTGTTTTGCAAAAAGAAAGGATACTGACAGTCCAAAGAGCAAACACCACAGCTGACTTCTCTCTCACACACCTACCAGATCTTGCCCATGGTATTTGCTTTGTTGTTTGATGACACTCATGCAATCTAATGGAGCATAGTTTGACTTGCATTTCCATTCCCCACTCACCCTGACAACACCCCAACATTAATCCATGACGAAGGATACTTTTGTATCTTTTGTTCATTGATACATTCCCCAGAACTACCTGAAGCATAACAGCGTATGAATACTTTTTAAATTAGTGAATGAATGATGACTCCAGTAGTCTAAAACTTCACCAGACTAGTTGCAACAGAGAACTCAAGAGATGAAAAATAATCCTCACAGAAAAAATATTCAGAGGTTTAAGTTGAGTATATTTCTCCCACAAGATAACTAGGTTTCCCATTATATTCATACCCCTAAAAAATCGCCATTAAAAATACTCAGAAATTGCTAGTTGCCTTAAGTCATCTGAGAAGCCAAAAATAAATACAAGAGTCACAAATTACCAAAAGTTTAACTACTCTTAGCTGCCTCTCCAGGATACTGACAGTTGCCCTGAGATCATGATTCCAAAGACAGTGATTTCTGGTTGGGATTCCCTGCAACCAGTCATGCAAGCAAGGGCATGAGACCATCAGTTGGTAATGTTGACTAACAAGGAAACTTTGATAAGAGCAGTTGTCATTTGCTGAAGTCTTACTGTGCACAAGTCATGGAGAGACTTTCTTTGTCATCGTGGCTGTCACTGCTGTCTCCACTATAGCAGAGACAATGATGAAAGCCCTAGTCACTACTGCATGTTCCTCTGACACTCAAGAAGGCCACATTTCACACCAAGGCACATCCCTCACTTCCAGCAAGAACTGATGGTTGGATCTTGGTTCATAGGAGTTAGGCAGAGGGCATGTTCCCAACTCCAGTTGTAGTTTCTCTGTGAAAACCACCACAGTCTTCCAATGTTCTCCACCACCATAGCCTTCCATACCGTCCATCATGAGACTAGAAAGAGAGAAAAAAATAAAATGGAATTTCATCAAGCCACTGATAACTTCTCAGTTACAGAAACAGCATAAATTACCCTGTATTTGCTCAACTGTTTTATGGAAGTAGAATCTGAGGCATTGTTATAGGAACTGGCCAAAATGTTACTGGAACTGGCATTTGAACTTAGGTAACAGCCCCAGCTCCATGAGTTTAATCCACCACAAACAAGCATGAACCCAGAAGAGGATCAAGTGCTCTTGTTTATTTGAATTCACTAATAGTAGAAAGTTAGAGAAAAGCAGCAGAGAGTCTGTGAAAGCAGAAAGATCAGATATTACATAGTAAGGTGCCCAGTTACTCTGTGTTGAGCACAAGGCACACACTTTATTTTGATACACATGGTGCACGGCATTTTCTGTTCATTAAATTCCTCAATATAATTTTACAGCAAGAATGCTTGTCTTGTATTTCATATGGTCCCAGGTGAGCTAGGAAAGAGAATTAAGCCACCCAGCAACACTGCATGAAACTAATTAATTGGCAAAATTCACAATTCTTACAAGTATTATAGTACTGTGTGTTGGGAGGAAATAGGTGAAGGAAACCAACATCAAAGAGAACTGCAGGAAAATAGAAGCAAGCATTGATTCATACTAACTCCTGAGAAAACTTCAAGGAAGGGGTGCCTAGAGTTTTTGCTTCATCCCAGGATTCTGGCAATACAGGAAGGCAGAATCTTTTTCTTGTCTATGATAAGTAAATTGTGGGCCAGGAAGGCAAGTAAATTTCAAGCTGTGACAGAAAAGAAACCCTACAGTACTTCCAAGTCACTGTAGATTCTAAGCTTTTCTGGTGAATCTGTGCTCTTGCCTGTGCATGTGGAGGCCAGAAACTGATACTGGGTGTCTTCCTGTATTGCTCTCCACCTTGTTTGGAAGCATGGTCTCTCACTGGATGTGAAGCTAACCATTTCAGCTAGACTGCCTGGCCATCCATCATGGAAGAAATGAAGATGAGCAAAACAACTCACTTCAAGACAGACTAGAAAGCAAAAAGACCCAGAACAGGCAGGGTCCTACAGTCTCTCCCAAGTGCAAATCATCTGATGTCCTCACTAAGTTCCACCTCCTAAAGGTTCAATCATCTCTCAATAGTCCCACCCTGGGGACTTGATCTTTACCACATAGGCCTTTGAAGAACATTCAAGATCTGATATACAGAACCAATCATAATTCTCATTGGAAATATGAAGTAAATGCTTCTGTGAACCAAGACTGAAGGGCATAATAGATCATCTCAACAAAATGCTTGCTATGTGTTAGGCACATTATATATATATATATATATATATATATATATATGATGGTTTTGTCACACAACATAGAAACACGGAATATATTACTATTTGTTAGTCCCACATTTACAGGTACAGAAATGAACTAGTGAAGACGAGTCCCTTGCCTTAACAGATTAAAACAGCATGTATTAGATAGCTTTGTGTACCCCAAATGTGGGTCCCTCAGAGCTGGGTCCTTTGGCTCAGATTATCTCAGAAGTGTCAGCCCAGATATTAGTCAGTAGTGTGGTTATCCAAGGCTAGACCAGGGGAGGAATTGATTCAAATGTCATGAGTGGAGCCTCCAGCAATATAATATCCTTGTCACATTGACCTAGCTGTAAACCTATTCACAGCCCACACAAAGTGCTGATAATCCTACATATCTGAGAATGTTCATAGCAAATATGTGTGGATACTTCAAGAGGTAACACCACGGTGTTCATAATGTGATGGTCAACAATGAGGCTGCAAATACCAGTACCTTTGAGCAGAGCTGAATAGGATAATTTCAAATGAGAAGTGCTTGCCATTAAAAGGACAGGAAGTTGATGAAAGGGTCTTATTCTGGAAGAGTATGGCAAAGTGTGCCAAAATCCACCCAGAATCCAAGAAAATGTCAGACTCAGGCTAGCCAAAAAGGAAAGACAGTGCAATGCTATCTGTCGGTGCAAATCATTCAGGGGTTAAGGTAAAGGCATTCCTAATCTAGTATCCAAGAGCCCAAGAGCACTCACAGATACGACTGTGCATATGTATAATCTAATATAAACACAGCAAGAAAGCCTGAGAGATACAATGCTGATTTAGGACTTGTCCTTGAACTATTTTTTCTTGCAGGTACAAAGATATGAGAGGTAAAGTGGCATCTTATTCAAGAGTCTTAGTGTTCCAGGGTACTTACACCATTCCAGGGCATGTATCCTGGCTCATGTAAAGATTGTATATTTACCCCTGAAAACAACTACACTCACTCAAGCAATGGAGGAAAATATCCTTTACTGAAAGTGTCTAGGCCTCCAGATGAAGCAAGTGAATCTTGCAAACTTCTCTGAAAGTTCAGGAAATGTGTCACTACTCTATAAAGGCCATCTACATCATTGCCGCTGCATGTTCACACTTTAGTATATGAATGCCATTTAGAAGGGAATTGTAAAGACACATAAACACACCTGAAGACTTTAACCAAGATTCTCTCTTGCTAAAGAGAAATATTAAATGTGAAGGAAAAATACATCATACAATCAAAACTTCTTTTCTTCCTAGAGGATGCCATTCGTATCAACAAACAATACGTACTGATGCCCTGAGGTGGTCTGCTAGCTATTTTAGAATGGTGGCAAAAGAGAGATTGATAACTCTGTCACTGTAGCAGCTCCAGTATGCCGCAGTTAATTTTTGTTCAACATTTTAGATGTTCTTCGGCCCAGTGTACATCAGCTCTAAATGGTAAGCATCCAAGCAACCATTCTGGGTTTTTTTTATTGTAATAAAGTACTTAATACATTCATGAAAAATTAAACACTTCATAAAATATGCTTAATGATAGGTGATTCTGCCCATCTGTAAATTGATACAATGGTGCTGAGAATATTCAAGGTAAGCTGGGCCAACTTATGATTAAATACATTTTTTTGAAGTTGGAATATATCCAACTTACAATAGGTTTGTCAGGAAAACCCACCATAGTAAGGATTACTATATAAAAAACATCTACCAATTCACTCAATGTTTCACATATGTCTTTATCACACCAGGGCAAAAAAATTGAGTGTGTTTTATCTGTGCCTTGAGATCTTGCAGGAGGCTGAGTTAGAAGGTGTATGGTAGTTGATTCGACAGAGGAAATTCCAAGTACAACACTCAGACAGAAACACTGTTTACTCCTTCCAGACAAACAGGCTGTGACGTGGCAATGAGGAGCAAAGTGTGACAAGGTGGAAAATCTGGGCAACTTGCAGTATCATCAGAAATGCAGAAAGTTTAAGGGTGATTCCAGGAAGGGTACAGTTGTTAAAGAGATCAGCACCACTGAAAAAGAAGCCAAGTACTTTGCACAAGACAAAAAGCAAAGATGACTCAAGGATAGCTCATGAATCAGCAAGACCAGAATGACCAAAGCAATATAATTTAAGAAAAAGCTTGCTACAAAGACTTTCATGTGGGGGAAAAGCAAAAGAAAATGAAAACAAAAACAAACAAACAAACAAAAGAGCATGACATGATGCATAGACCCACTTTCGGGATTCTGTGAGGAACCATTTCCAGTTAAACATCACTCATGTTCAGAATCATGAACATTATGCTGCCTTTGCAGAACCAAGAGTCATGGAGTCATAAAGGTTGCTACCTGAATTTCTAAGAAAAGCCTGGGAGAGCTGGCACTTGCAGAGTGAGTCCTTATAAATGGGTTCTTGCAGGTTGATGATAGCGGTGTGATAGTGAAGCCCACACTGCAATGAAGAACCCCAGGACTCTAGAGATGCCAGGATTGTGGAACACCTACTGAGGAAAGAAACAGTAAGAAATAAGAGGAGCTCAAGAGATTGATTTTAATGTTACTAACCAGCAATGCATAGGAGCATGGCTGTCACACCGTTTCAGTTCTACATTTGATCACAGTGTGACCCCAATGTTGTTCATGGAACTTTAGGTTTAATGGTTTCCCTATTGAGTTTCTGTCTTACTCTAGTCCGGACCTGTTTTTTTCACATCTCTATTCCTCCTTTTTGAAATGGTTCTGGTTACTCTGAGTCACTACCTATTAGAAGTATGTGACAGCTAGGTTTTATTTATTTTCATAGGAAATCGTGGCTTAATTTAGCTTGAATCTCAGAGGAAACTTTGAAATCAGATTCAGGGCTTGTCTGAACTTCAGAGTTATTTCAAGTCTAACCTGGGATACTTATTAAAACCTTGTCTCAAAAATCATAAAGAAAAGAAAGTACTAAAGGATTTGTTCAGTGTTACAGTGCTTATCAAGCAGTGCGCTGGGCCATAAACTCAAAACCCAGGACCATGCCAAAAAGAAAAGAAATAAGTGAATGAATGGATGAATGAATAAGAAAAAGGGAGAAACAAATACTTTACACTGATACCACATGAAAATTTCTTGAGGGTATCTCAGGTATTAGCGAGATTCTACCTTTCACGGGCTCTAGTGTATAGAACTTACAAACTCATTTGAGATGTTTTCCCTTGAGACGACACAGCTTTTGGGTGCTATCCTCATATAGGACTACATAGAGAAGTTATTTTCTGAGGTTTAACAGCAGATAAAAGACTACTGTAGTCATGGAACAGAATTGTCCTACATGGATGAACACTGTCTCTCCCAAAAGACAGGTTATTAAACAAGAGTGAGGGAAGAAGACATGAATGCCTTCCTAAAGGCTGATGGTCAGGGAGGCCCCAGAGATCTCCAAAACAACCTAGGCTATGACCATTTCCTCTAATTGCCCACCGTACTGAATGGCAAAACCCCACTGCTGAAGGCACCATGTACTTTGGCTGTGGGACATAGAGAAATGAATCTCAAACTGAGCTGGAAGCTTTCTCTCTGGTGTCTATCTTGCCACAGTTCTGAAGCACAAGTATTACAATATTAACCTTCCAGGCAAGATGTACCCAGTGATACAATAGGGACACTATTGTTGTGGAATGAACTTTCTGATTGGAT